TCTAGTGGTAATTCAAACCAAAAGAAAACACAGATACCTTTCAAGGACCCGGGACATTTGGGCAACAGCCTCGAACCCGTGAATCACTTCAAGACTTCAAGACTTCAAGACCTGAGCTGACCTGTCGCGGAACAGTCAACCGTGCTGTAAGCCGGAAAAACATACGGCTCGATCGGTCTGCTGACGAGGTCGATCCAGAATCAGGACAATTATAAGGCCGAGGCTTATGTGTCCTGGAAATTCGGATTTGGATTTGGAACTGAATTTTTTGACGCTAACGCTCAGTCGCGACCTTTTGTGGCGGGAGTTTAAGTCAGCTTCGTACCGCCTCCGGGATGTACTCCTCGCGGCCTCCGGTATGTCATTTTTAATGTGTCATAGTTTTTCCCTAGCCGTCTTCCCAGTCAAGTCAGCATTGCAAGTTTTCCGTTCCCGAAGCTTGTGAACGTATCAAAGATGAATTATCCACTCTGCAGCAACAATGTCATAAGTGAGCTAATTAATTCTCCCTTTCATTTGTTGCTTCAGTTTGAAATTAGAATATGAAAAAATCGCGCAAGAGAAAACAGAACTTCAGCGGCACCACCTTTTGTACTACGAAATAACTTACGGTCTAAATGTTGAGATGCATAAACAGGTATATGGAAAGACATTGCATAATTTAGTCACTAGATGGAAATTGCCAAGCGCCTTAGCGCCATTCTTGTTCAAGTCATCCCCTTTTTATCACAGGAGGTATATATCGCTTGCAGCTTATTTTTACCCCGATTTTAGCATCAGTCACAGGTGGCTGCAGCCGTTGAACGTGCAAAGCAAGTTACGCTATCCGAGCTCAGCACCCTAATCATGGTGAGTTTGTGCATCTATTCTAATTGCTATCCAGCCCCAGCAGGAAGAGTTGAAATCAAACAAATTTCCAAACGGTCCTTTAGCTCCTTTTGATCAAATGGACTTTTTAAAGGTAAGATTAAACTAATGAACTGCTTTTCGCTGTATAGGTGGTTTCCCAGAGTATCATGTTTACCGTTTTGAGTAATTTTGAGTAATTGCTGTTTGTAACTCAGTAAGAGCACTTGAAAGCCTTCTGGTACATTTGAACTGCCCACTAGCACCTCACTAGGTTTCATGGTTCACTTCCGCATCATTCACTTTCTTTAAAGACTCAGGGTGAAATATATTCCATTTTAACCGGTATGTCTCATTAAACCTGTGATTTCAGTTCGTCGCGCACTGCCTCTGTGATAATCCCTATCTTACTTTTTAACGAGCATTATCCTTTGGGGCTTTCATTCGGATTGTTTTGTGTTTCCAACTTTGATGACGAAGCCAGTTCTCAATGCATTGTATTCTGATTCCTTTTGTACAACCACTCAATATTACCTTTTCATAGGCCGTGAGTTTGCCGGTGTTGACCACCATCCGGTCATTCAGGAAGTAAAATAATGGGATTAAACCAAGGTTAACTGCCATCGACGGAACTGTATGAACTGAGCGGATCGCGTGATGGGTTCCCTTCTTTGAAAAGGAATGCCCCAGAAGTACGTCAACTTACCGAGGTCACTGTACTCACATTCCTCTGGTCGTGTGAGGGTCTATAATGAACTAAGTAGGCCGTTCGTCAAGGGTGCCCTCTTTCGCCGTTCCTGTTCAATTTCGTCGTAGACGAAACACTGGAGAACGCACAAAATGAACTTCAAAACGTAGGTATTAAATGGGCAGCTGCGTGAAAAGCTGTGATTTAGAGTATGCCGATGATATCGCCTGTCTGTTTGAATGTACGGGGGACGCGCAAGGCGCACTTGATAGACTAACAAGTGCTGTTGCTATATTCGGTATGTGCTTTGCACCTTCAAAGTGATGCTGCAGGACTGGGTTTCGTCTACTCCTGCTGTGAAACTTAATGGTGGATTACCTTTCCTACTTAGTTGCGTGACCAATGGCGGTAGCAAAGCAAAGGAGATAAGCGCCCGTATTTCCAAGGCTCGAGCAGCATACGCAGGACTGAAACACCCTGGACATATACACGACGTTTCGCCGAAGTTGAAAGGTCGTGTATATCGTGGCAGTTTTTTTTTCATTTCTGCCTTATGTTTGTGAAACCTTGAATTTGCGAGTAGAATATATCCATCGACTAGAAGTTTTCGATTATCGTTGTTTACGTAGTTTAGCCCACGTGGGATGGAGCGAACAGGTTAGTAATCTGGAGGTAAGCCGTCAAATGTTTGGGAGTCTGTCAGGGATAAACCTGCTAGCACACCGAATTCAGATTAGTAGACTTCGCTGTCTAGGGCACGTATTGCGTATGTCCAGCTGTTGTCTGCCGCACCGTGCTTCAATCACTGTAGCCGCTCCGGGCTGGAGGAAACCACGGGGAGGTCAACACATGTGGAGACGATGCATGAAGAAATGCACAGCCATTTGGTAAAGTATGTGTCTCGCGCCTTCCTGGTTGGGGTCCGGAAGACTGCACAACCGGTTGGTTAGAGACATTGAAATATATGACAACGAACCGACATCAGTGGCGTTCTTGTCGTCATTTTTTATCTGGCCAGAATGCTTTAGACGGTATGTATGCAGAATTCGATCGTGTACTCTGTGTGTTGACCATAGAGGTTCACCTTGTTCTCCGTCCTTCAAAACAGGTCCAATCCCTGTCCACGTTGAATATTACCACTAACCTCGTATGCATTGCTAGTTTGGTAGCGATGAATGAAGTTCGCCTCACTCTATTTCGCTGTACGATGATAACGGTCAAGTTTTTGACTGCCTTGCTTTCGATATAAGGATATCTACACTGTGGCGTTTGTACTTAAACACTAACGCAGCAGGCTAAAATAGCCCTGGAAACAGCCATTGGCTCGTTGCTCAGTTGAATAGTTGGTGGTGTACATGCTAGGTTGTTTCCAAAGCAAATGATATGATATATCGATGCTTTCGTATGTTCCTTTTTCAGTATTTTTCTAATTACCCACTAATCTTCATGCATAAACATTACTTTAGGTAACAGTTTGTGTGCGGTGAATAGTATCATCAATTAAGTTGTTCGCTTGTCCAGGCCGAACTTGATCATCTTTACAGAATATTTCATAATAAGTAGCATGTGAATGACTAGATGAAATTCCCCTAGAAACACACGACCGGTTTCGCGGTTCTTCCCGCTCGTCAGGCATGCGTATCCGGTAATCTTTTGTCAGTTAATTTTTATACTTGTACCCAGGAAGTGTATCTTGAGAACAGTTACCTTGTTTGCAAAACCGGGTGACTTTTGGATAGACAGCTCTTTCAGCGCCAGTCCATTAAAGAATCAATGCTATGATTCAATGTTTATACATATAATATATATATATATATACCCCAGTGTTTGCTAGACCGGACAAAGCATTCTGTAGAATATCCTCCTTGACAAATATGATAAGGAATGGGGATCTAGGGCAACCTTACCGAACTCCACTGAAGACGGCGAAAGCTGGCCATATGCCCTATCTGAACCTGAGAAATGACGATACAATTTTGAGAATCGACAAACTTCTGTGGTACTTCATTCCTCAATAAACAGTTCCGTAGTGCGGTCACAGGCCGCACGGATATCTAGGAACACAATAATGGTCTTTGGTAACCATGACGTTGCCCTAACAGCTGTCGAAGGATGAGATTTGATCAATGCATCCAAGACCGACTCGAAACCCAGTCTGCTCCTTGTGGGGCTGGTCCTCATGCATATTATAAGATCGACGGAGAATGGCGGACTCCCACAGCTTTGGCGCTATTTTGATCAGCCTTATACCCCTATGGTTGGCACAGTCACTGCGTGAACCCTTCTTAAAGAAAGGGACGGCAATCGATTCTCCCCACCAGGAGGGGGGTCTGCTCGTTGTGCCTGACTGTAGAGGACAGAGCCACCAATTCTCTAACAAGATTTATTCCACTGTCTCACTAGAACTGGGGGAATTTCATCGGAGCTCGGCGCCTTTTGACATCCCAAGGCTTGAATCTCAGAAGGTGGTTCTGGTGAGACAGACCATGGGACGTGTGCCGAAATAGCTGTGAGAAGCCGACGCCGGTGGCCAGCTAAACTACTCTGGAGTGCTCTACCAAACATCACGACGAGACTGCACCTTAACGTGGTGTGATTGTTTGTGCACCTCTATGACCCAACGAGCTTCACAGAATGGCTTTTGTCGAGCCAAAGATCTAATCATGCCTGGAAGGTCAATAGGTAGAGGTCAGACAAAGTCCAGTCTCCTGGTCCTCCAGGTTGGGGGTTCGACTTGAGTCGGCGTCTCAGTCGATAAAACGTGTTGCGTGGTTTGGCGCTGGTTATACGGAGCGAGCTGGTGGCTAAGAAAAGTTGAGGTAGACCAAGGAGTATATGAGAATGGATCAGCGGAAAATCCGTCATCACCTCGGATTCAGACGTGTGGACTTGGCTCGTTAGGAGAGCTATTTCGCTTATCGTGTATCGCTAAATGGTACGTTTTGTTTTGTATGTCACATGTGTCTGAGTTCTGACCATAAAAAGAGAAACGTTCCATCATTTGTTTGTGAGCGGAATACTGCCAGGTTGCCCATGCCATGGCCGGTGAATTTTCTTAGGGACTTAACAACCGGAGCCTTCGGCAAACTAAAGCCTAATCCGCAAAGCAACGGGGTGGTGTGGAAAAAGCGCACGGCCGGGTGTCTTATTCATCGAATCATACGCCTTTCGGACGGAGTCAAACGTCCAAGGTGCCTAATTGGGCCGGTGACCACCGCCACAACCACGAAGGTGTATGCGTGGTTCGTACACCTCTCCTTGGTTGGTTTAGAATCAGAGTTACTAGCGAACTCCCTTAGGTGAACTGCCAGTGGTTCACCAACCCGGTTATACCTCGAGGACTAGCTTTTCTCACTTTGGTGGGAAAACGCCACCACGGGAAGGTAGTGAGTAGGGTCTCCTCAGTAGAGGCTATTTGAGATACTGGGTCGCACGGGAGCATTTCGCGAGGTGCAATGGAAAGATGACCAGCTACCCGCGATCACACTGAGGCCTTCGGAGGCTCTAGATAGTACGGTGTACGAAAGTCGTGCTATTCGGAGTATTACCTGCATTTGGAGAGCTGTATAAGTAGTATTTTCTGCAACTTGACAGCTATGCTTGACTTCACACGTTGGTTAAGGCGAACAGTTGACAATTGCACGTTAGATCAACTCAGTGGAGCAGTGATTATTCGATATGGTGTTAAGCCACCGGAAAGTACAAAATGTGCTTTTTATTGATTTTGCCCTATTGATCTATCTTTATCTTTGATATTTTCTCTTCGTACTGTTTATGCTCTGCAGTTCCCCGCTTTTCTAATCTTGGTTATTTGTTCAAAACCGACTAAAAAGCCGAATATGAAGTGGCATGAATTTGAACCGAATTGTGATTGTCCTCGAGTGTGTGCTATCAAACCCGGGGAGTGATGGCAAACCGTAGCTTCACTGATGTACATGAACTTACAAGAAACTATGTACACAACAGTCGTTACGCTTTTATCTGTCCAAACATTTCACTCCTTGAAGTTTTATTCAATATTCATGATCTATCGACAAAAAGTGATATTGCTTTAGGAGACCAACAATTTGGTGGTTGAAAAGGATTCTGTTTTTTCTGTTGTTGTTCTTTTTAAGATGAGAGGAAATCATTACATTACATCATTACCGATCTGTCTGTTGACACATATTGCTCACTTCGCGATTCTAATGAAACTTATTATGTTCTTGTTTTCTCTCTGACCCACAGACCGTACAGCAGCAGCAACAATTTTTGATGGCTGCGGGTTCTACTGGACTATCTGGTGGATTACCTTACAGTCTAAGTACACCTACCATGGGCAGTATTGCAGACGGACCGGCTTCACTGTCTCTATCAGTAACAAAAGGATCTACATCTCAGTCAGTTTCTTCGCTTAACTGTCCTCCCATTCCCGCCCCACTCCCGAGCAGTGGTGCTATGAGCAGTAGCCTCGCAAACAGTCTATCCGCCTTGGCCGGTGGTGTGAGTACTCCGAGTGGCCTGACCCTCCCACCGAATCCTTTCTTTCCGCAACTTGGGAACTCAACATCGACCACTCCCAGCAATGCGCCTAATATGTGCACTATGCCAACCTCCCAACAACAAGCATTGCCTCCTGTGACAGCAAATCCGGCCTTTTTCTCCGGTCTAGCACAGTCCCACCCAGCCGTTGCCGCTGCAATGGCTGCGGTGGCCGCAGCTGGATTCCCACCGCCCGTTTCCTGTGTTGCTGGTGGTTCTTTAAACCCCATGTCAGCCGGTCTGCTGAACACAAGTACAGGTAGTGCCATCGGAACTAATAATCCCGCCTACCCGTCCCAATTACCTGCACATATGAACGGAATGATGTCTGGTCCTCCTTTCCCCGGAGCCGGAATGCCAACCACCAACTCACTCCCACCACTGTCTTCTGCTCCATCGTGTTCCGTCTCGTCTGCACTCCTATCATCCAGTCCTTATCCGGGAGCCCCGACAGGATCCGGTCATCATCCGAACTCGTTCTCTCCTNTCCTAATTCGTCGTTTGCTGCGTCCACCGGACCCCGATTACCTGGCATGCCGATAGATGCCACCTCGGGCGCCCCGCCGCCTCCATTTCCTCCCATGATGTCCCCGGCAGCGTTGTCGGCAATCATGAACGACAAGAATCTGGACGACAAACACGTGAGTATCCATTTTGTTTGTATCACCCCGAGAAAGTAATCTTGCCACTGAGTGTTTGGTTGATCAATGTTGTGCTTGCCTCCGTTAATTGTTTTCACAATGATCCATTCACAAGTGCTGTTCGACCGGTAATCATTGCCGTTCTTTCTGCATAACTTGAGAATATAATTCAAATAAACTCTTGCCTGTTTTATCTCATCCTTAGGCTTAGTGCTGAAAATTACTCCGTGTTCACGTTTGCATGTGTGTTCATGTTACGTTCCTCTTATATAGCTCGGATTCTTGTCGGTGGACGAAACGTCCTTGATTTGATTTGTCGCTTTAATTTTCACCTCCGGTCCTGGTGAAACGTATTTTCAATTCATACTTGTAAACCGGTTTACTTCTGACGCTTTTCCCTAGGCCGGAAAACGAATTTATGCGTATACTGCATAGTGTATAAGTCTATTGTATACTTGTCTGGGTTCAGACCCTAATACATCACTGTTTTCGTGGGCCTAATATTGCCAAGTTACCTAGACCAAGCCAGGCGTACCTCGGAATCATAAAATCTCGTCTCGGCGCTCAAGATTTGCCAATTCGGAAACGACAGTTTTTGAATGAATTGTTTCGCGTGTGTTTCGGTTTTTTCTCCTCTGAATCATCTTTACTACTGTCATACAAATCGTTACCCTTTGTTGCACCAATATCATCATCATCATCACCTCCCCCATCCTATTTCGTTGGTCTTAGTCGCCTCGATGGAATGAGACTTCCCTCACCCTCTCATCTATCGTTTGAGACGGAGATTTACAAGTGCTCAGGTGCACACGTACGCTCACGCATACACACACACGCACTCATCGGCCCCAAAATCAACATTGCTCGTGTGTTATTCTGATGTTGACTATGTTTCTCACCCTATCTGAAATATAGGGGCGTGGCTCAGTACACTGTTGTCATTCTTGCTTCTCTACTACTACTAGTACTAGTACTTTCGTGTGATTAAGTCAGTCCCTGTCTGTTTGCATGTCTCCCTCTCTTGGTATGTCGATATGTGTGTGTGTGTGTGTGTGTGTGTGTGTGTGTGTGTGAAAAG